TCAACACTTGAAAATAGAACACTTAATTCTCTAGAAATCAGGAAAATGTTATTAAAAGGAGGAAAGGAAAAAATTCAATTCCTGTCCTGTCCTGGAAAACACAGAATTGAAAGATTCATAATTATCATTACAATTAATATAACAACTAACATTTCTTGAGGTTTTACTAAGTGCTAAGCATCAGTACAAGCACTTAAAAGATACTAACATTTGACCCTTTCCACACTATAGCAGCTATCCAGGCTAAAAAGAATAAAGAAAGATACTTCCTCCAGCAAAGGTCTATGATTTTTAAGGACCTGTCCAGTTTGAGGAGTGATGACACAAGATACAGCTGGTGCAGAAGGGCTGGGTGATGCTCTACATAGGTTTCAGTGTGCAACTTGAGTTGCCGTCACATATATAAATTTACATAGAGTAATCCATCTGCTTTAATAAAATGTGTATGCAACCATAGGGTTGTAGAAATTTCAAAGATTTTATTTTTTGACAGGATGCCTGCCGTTTTTCTCTCTTGACTCCCGCTTGTTTTATTCATTTGGGGGTAGTTGCCAATTAGACTCAATTGGTAAGTATAATTAATGAACAACTTGAATTTCCTCTTACACTCCAACCGAGAAATTAACCACAGAAGTCTTCATTTCCTTTATAATTTCCTAAGAATATCACTCCCTAAGACTGTTGTTTTATTTCTATCTCTTCTGACATTCAACCACATCAGAAATAAGTTACTCCCTATTATTTGTTATCCTAAAGATACCTTGTAAGACAACTTGGCAACACTTCTGGGATACTACTGGGAGGGAATAAGCATTTATTTAGGTACCAAGCACTCTGCCAGTCATTTTCATATATGCTATCTCTTTTAATACTCACAAAAACCCTTCAAATAGGGTTTATTATCTTACTTTTTTATAGTTGACGAAATAGCATCTCCAAGAGGTTAAGCCCTTGCCTTAAGTCCAATTAGTGGGACAGCTTGGTGCAAACCTAGACTGACGTAATTTTCAAAACATCTTCTCCTTTCATCCTACGAATGGAAGCATTGTCTCATTAAAAAAAAAAAAGGGTCCCCTAGAGTTTTGTTACTTTGGAGAGTTTGAGGATCATATTATTTCATCCAGCAACTATTTGAGCACCAACTCTGCCAGATACAGGTTGAGCATTGGTTTGGTTGGAATGAGTCACCAAGCAAAACTTTGGGAAGAAGATGGTGGTAGTTGCAAGATGGTGGAGAAACAACATTAGGAAGAAATAGGACAGGGTGTTGGAGAGGAGGGTGGGGGGGTGGACACAAGCAGAGGACCTCCTGATTGTGTACCCATGGCTACAGTCTTTCTTCATGTGACTCGTGGACTTCCCTTTGTCATCCTATGCCTGAGAATATATGAAGGAGGCTGGGAAGGCAAAGGGACGTTCAATTGTCATCACTGGCATCTCTTTTGATCATTGCACCATCATCAAATGCATTGGAATAACCATGACATGAAATTTTCCATCACTGGGCCCATAACTGTCCCATGAGAGAGATTAAGAACACTATATGTTAAAGGTTATGGTAGAACTTCTTCTATGGGAGCTCTGGAAGTAGGAAGGAGTGAAATAAACTCTAAAAGACTAATAATTCTGGGTCCAAACCATGTGACTTGAAAAGGAAGTGAAGATTCCTCTGGACCGGTTAAATAGACAGTCATGCATCAGTTAACGGTGGGGATACTGTATTCTCAGAAATGAATCATTAGGCGATTTTGTCATGAACATCATAGAGTGTACTTATATAAACCTAGGTGGTATAGCCTACTACACACCTAGGCTACGTGTTGCAGGCTATTGCTCCTAGGCTAACCTATACAGCATGTTACTGTGCACTAGTGAATACCGTAGGCAATTGTAACATAATGGTAAGTATTTGTGTGTCTAAACATGGAAAAGACACAGAAAAAACATTGTATAAAAGATAAAAATAGTACACCTTTATAGGGCACTTACCATGAATGGTGCTTGCAGGACTGGAAGTTGCTCTGGGTGAGTCAGTGAGTTCTAGAATATTTTTGTACACTACTATAAACTGTATAAACACTATAGGCTATACTACATTTATTTTCAACATTTTATGTCTTCAAAAATAACCTTAGCTGACTTTTTTACTTTGTAAACTTTTTAATTTTTATAAACATTTTGACTATTTTGCAGTAATACTTAGCTTAAAACATAAGCACATTATACAGCTATATGAAAATATTTTCTTATTCTATGAGCTTTTTTCTGTTTTTAACTTTTTTATCCTTTTACTTTTTAAACTTTTTTTTATTAAAAATGAAGACATAAACACACTCATTAAATGAGGCCTGCACAGGGTCAGGATCATCAAGATGTCATGAGGTGACAGAACTTTACAGCCCTTTTATAACCTTATGGGACCACCGTTGTACTTGTGGTCTGTCATTGACCAAAGTGTCATTATGCAACACATAAATGTAGATCAAGAACGTGTTGTTTCCTTCTGAGGGTGCTGTAATGTGTTCAGCCCACTCACACAAACTTTCCACTGCCTTAAACAGTCAAGGGAAAGGCCTTCCAAAACACAAATACCAAATTTATGATCAGTTCACTTTAGACTGTGATGATGTCGTTTTTTAGACCCTCTCAACTGGACATTTTAAAGCTTTTCCTGCATTTTAGAGGGTCTTCCCTCTAAAGAATAATTTGTATGGAGAAAACAACACAATCTATACCCCTGCCTTTTCATTTTATAAAATGACTTGACACAGTTGGCTGTGTAACTGAAGTATTTGTCATGCTTGTTAATGAAAAGTTACCTTGTCAATAAAGATAATGAAGCCAAAAAAAAAAAAAAAAAACTTTGAGGGAACAGAACAAATTTTAGTGAAACTGGTTTCTTGGTATTTGCTTGTCATGTTTATCTCACCCGTTTTCCTATTGAAGATAAAGCCCCCTCTTTTTCAGCAGAGACTTTTCTGCATTGGAAATAGTTGTTCAGGAACTGGACTAGCTTTTGTAAACAAGAAGGTCTGAACAGGAGAGCTGTCCACCATTCTAAGATCTCTTAGACACTTTTACATTCAGGGAAGAATTTGGGGCTCCTTTTTCAGATTAGAAAGATTTGGGTTTCAAATGTTTGACTGGCATTTTGGTCTTAAAGTCAGCAAAGTTTACTGTTGTTGGTCAGGTATAATAGGTTCCTAGCATAACATAGGAACCTGTTGTCTTGATAGGACCCAGTATCTTCCTTATTTCATTGCTAATTGAAAGACCTCTCACATTTTTCATCTGTTGTTTTTATAGCTTCTTCACCTAACATAACACCATGTAGATCATATGTCCCACCCATTTCAAGATACTTAACAGTTTCCCTTAAATGATATACCCTATTGGATGTGGTTTTGTCACTTTCTGACATTTGCTAAAATTTCATTCTCTCCTCACTCTACCTATCTGGCGAAAACCTACATTTCCTCTAGGTCTCAGATTAAAAATCTTCTCTCTGTAATCTTACCAGAACTCATCCCCAGTATCCTCCCAGGCCCACTTTCACCACATCCTCCATGCTCTTACAGCACTCCATATCAGCCTCTCCCACACACGGCTCCTTTTGGTAGAGTCGAGTCTTCACAGTCTCCCATCTTCTGTAGATTGTGAGGTCCTATAGAGCACAGCCATGTCTTATTCATTATTGTCATCCTGAAAACCTAGCATAGTGCCTGGCCTATGCAAGTAGGTGCTCAGGAAGTTGTTATTATAAATACCACTCTTTGATTTTCCTGGCTTTATTTTTAGCTCTGATTTCCAGCCTGACACAAAGATGTAATAGAAGGGATTAGATACTAAAAGCTATTTAAAAGGACAAATCATAAAACAATAATGACATAGAAAGACTCAGAAAAGATAAATAGGAACGTGCACAGGCAAAGACCATCACGCATGCTTCCAATTCATGGGCATAAAAGCATTTAGTCTGAGAAACCTGTGTTCCTGTTGAATCATGATTGTTGTTAAATCATTTTTATCTTATGAATTTAGAGAATCTTAAGCTACATATTTTGTCACAGCCAATGCACCATGGCTTCAGTATTTCCATTTCCATGGAATAAGAAATAACTATTGATTTTCCCTCATTTATTCAAAATGATGATTGCCCATGGTTGCTTTTCATTCCAGATTAGGATCAATGCATTCAGTAGAAATGCGTGGCTAACTTTAGAAGAACACACAAAAAAATTAATGAGAAAACTTACGTTTACTGAGCACTTTTCTGCCATGATCAACAGTTTTATAGTGAGATATATTTAGAGGAGATAAGGTGTCTCATTCCCTGGGAATCTTAAAAAAAAAAAGTGAGCTGAGATTTTAATTTGTTTGAGATAATTATCTTAAGACCAGGGAATTTATCACAGGATCCTTCAAAGTCCCTTCCTAGGATTTATAATAATTTGTTTCTTCAAAATATTATTTATATGTCAAGTCATTGAAACTAGATGTAAAAGCGAAGAATCATTCATATAGGCTTGGAAATTGACTATACATAGTGCTCCCAGATGTCACTAATAAAGTTGTTTATTTAAAAACTTTTTTTTTTTTTTTTTAGACAGAGTCTCACTCTGTCTCCCAGGCTGGAGTGCAGTAGCATGATCTTGGTTCACTGCAATCTCTGTCTCCCGGGTTTAAATGATTCTTTTGTCTCAGCTTCACGAGTAGCTGGGACTACAGGCACACTCCACCATGCCTGGCTAATTTTTATATTTTTAGTGGAGATGGGATTTCATCATATTGGCCAGGCTGGTCTCGAACTCCTGATCTCGTGATCCCCCTGCCTCAGCCTCCCAAAGTTTTGGGATTACAGGCATGATTACCTGCCCAAAAACCTTTTAACCTTGAACCCTCAGCTCAAGATCATGAACCCCTGATCTTGAGAAATGAAGAAAATAGAGATTTTATGCTCTAAAATGGCCAAATAAGGAAGCAGTTTATTTTTTTCTCTCTCTCTTTTGGCACTCATGGCTGAAACAAACAGCCCTTCTCCTCTTGAACAGGCTGTTCTCATTCTGTGTTGGAGGCCAGGTTTCAAAGCTGCATAATGAGTTTCACGTGCTGCAACCCAGCAGGCAAACATTCAAGTTTTAAATCGCAGGCAAAGGAATCAAGAACTCTCATTGGCTAAGGAGCCTTGGCATCTCTGGGTTCACATGGGGTTCTGGGCAATTCCTGCTGGAACAAGGCAGGGTTTAAAAACAGGTGTGCCTGTGCTAAAACAGGGAGGAAAAGATTGAAGAGTCAGCTTTTCTGGTCATCAAACAAATCTGAACTGAGCCCTTCCTCATTAGCACCATTTCTTCCACCCAAAGGGAGAACAAAGGAAGTGCACACTAACTCTGGGGCACATTAGAATTTATTATAAAATCCTGGGGGACTTTGAGAAACAAGCAGCAATTAGACACGGCGTGCCCACATGAAGAGTTTGGGGAGAAGTAGAAAGTTCACTTCATCTTTGTATTTTCACTCTTAGATTCTATTTTTGCACATGTAAAGTGGGATTTGTTTTATTTTTCATTATTCAAGTCATAAGAACTATTATGGGGTGTATGAATTATTGTTCATAAACTTAGGTATGTAGGAAATGTCACATAATAAACATTTTCTTTTATTCAAACAAATCCAAGACCCTTTCCACCTGATTTTTGGTAAAGTCAATCTTAACTTTTATTAGGTCTCTCTCTCTCTCTTTCCCCTTCTCTCTCTTTCTCTGCCCCCCTGCCCTCCTTCCTCTGCGTTTCTCCTCTCTCTCTTTCATGATCTTGCTCCTTCTCTCATGCTTACAGAGTACTTGAAAAGTTAAGAAAGAGCCTCTTAACTTTTGTCAGCCAAAGTAACCACTGATAAAATAATTGTCCAAGCTTGCTTGATCTCTGCAAAGTGGGTATCTCTGGTACTCCCATGCCAAAGTAAGCCAGTGGGATCCTGGCTGCAGCTGGCATCACTGGCGTGCAGGGTTCAGCACCCTCAGGTTCAGCATCCCATGGTGGACTTCACAGCAGCCCCCCTAAGACAGGCTGCCTGTGTAATCCCTGCCTTCACGGAGCTTGCATTTGCAGAGAAGATAGAAAATAACTCAAATATATAGTGTATTGAATAGTGATAAGGGCTAAGGAGAGATAGAAAAAAGAGAAGGCAGAAAAGGAGTGCAGGGAAGTAGACAAAATTTCAAATAGAATCGTGGGGAAGAGGAGAGAAAAGAAGGGGAGGGGAGGAAAGGCAACCAAGAACTGTGTTTTGGCACATTCTAGGTGTTAGATGTCAGGTAGGTGAGGAGGAACTAGCAAAGGAGAGGAAGAAGCAGCTAGCGAGGTAAGAGAGAAATGAGGAGAGAGCACTGAAAGGGAGGAAATAGAATTGTCTTTAACCCTTATAAAGTTTGTAGCTGAGACAAACCTCTAGAGAAAAAGAAATTAACAAGAGAAAAACAACTTTATTAACACATGCAGTGCACATCATGCGGGGGATGTGTTCAAAAGTAGTGGTTTAAAAGTCTCTTACATAGCATATCCAACAAAGAACAGTACTTTTTTTTTTGAGATGGAGTCTTGCTCTGTTGCCCAGTAGCACGATCTCGGCTCAGTGCAACCTCTGCCTCCTGAGTTCAAGTGATTCTCCTGCCTCAGCCGCCCACGTAGCTGGGATTACAGGTCCCCGCCACGATGCCCAGTTCATTTTTTTTTGTTTAAGTAGAGATGGAGTTTTGCCCCTGTTGGCCAGGCTGATCCCAAACTGGTGGCCTCGAGTGATCTACCCTCCCCCACCTCCCAAAGTACTGAGATTACAGGCGTGAGCCACCGCGCCCGGCCAGAATAGTACATTTTGGGAAAGTGACAAGGCAAAGAGGACGTCAGTCCTAGGCTCCTAGAGGTGGGGAAATGTGGGACGGTAAATTGATGGGGAATAAAATTTCCTCACTCTAGCTCCTTTCTGAGCTGATAAAGGTCTGTTCAAAGAGAACTTCTATTTTGTTTTCAGGTGGGAGAGGTGGGAGTGAGGAGTGTAAAAAACCTTTTGTCTTTGTAATTCTCTGTCTTGCTTTTGGGTAAACAAAGGCAAGGCAGAAGCTCTCCAGGAATTGTTATGGCTTGCTATATATAGGTAAGAAAGAGCAGCCCAGGCAGCCCTTTCTGCAGCTGCTCCTAGCTTAAAAATATTCATGTCAAAGAGGCATATTTTAGAATGGAATATTCTGGTTTCCTTCATCACTATCTGGAAGCCAAAGTGAAGAGTGTATTTCCAAGAGGAAGGAATGAAATGGCCAACTGTGTCAAATGCTACTGACAGCCTAAGTAGGAAGAGACGTGGGGACTGACTATCAGAGAGTCCCTTCTTCTCTCTCCATCCACGGCTTGGACCCTTTCTTCCTCATCTCATCTGCTCCCCCTTCTCCCCCCATCAAAGACACTTGCTCTTCTCTTCTTCCCCTTCAGAAAATTGGTGGACTTGGGTGTTTTGTTTTGTTTTGTTTTGTTTTGTTTTTACAAAAGTTCTCCAGGCAAGTTCTATTTTCTAGCAGCTCTAGCCAGCAATACAAACCACTCCTGGGAATAGACACCCCAGTGGCCTCTTTTGAAATGAGGAAGAGGAAAAACAAATGGAAAACAAAATCTGAATTAATTAACAACTCAATAAATTACCCTGCTACATAGAAAAGATATTCTTTACTTTTAGACAAAGCACCAAATATTAAAAGTACTAAATATATAGCTAAGCAATTTTTACTAGTGCCGTGAAACCCCTATTAAAATAGGGTGAAATCGTAGCACATTTGTTTTCAAATAGTCCCAAAGAGCTAGTCTTAGGGACTGAATTGCAAGAAGAGTTCGTATCTCCCACTCTTTGCCTCTATAATAAGGGCGCTTATTTTATCAATCCTGTACAACCAAAATAGGCATCAAAGATTGGCTTACACAGTCAGGTTTCCAACTTGGTTAGTTTCTCATTGATCACAGGCGCACACAGGCTTTAACAGACTAATATATGTTGCCTTATGTAATTTACCTCATTAGTTAATCCCAGGGATGAACAAACTACAACTAGTGGGCCAAATCCAGCATGCCATTATCTGTTTTTATAAATAAAGCTTTATTGCAACTTAGTCATGCTCATTCTTTACATAGTGTCTCTGGCTGCTTTCACACTATAACCACAGAGTTGAGTAGTTACAACAGAGGCTATCTGGCCTGAAAGCTGAAGATAGTTACTATTTGATGCTTTACAGAAAAATATTTGTTGATGCCTGGTTTAGACTTTAAAATAGACTTCTGGAAGAAACATTGTTCATGGGTGTTTCAATCTCATTCCATGGACTTTTGCATAAATTTGCTCCAGGAAGCGCATTTTAGATTTCACTTCTTTTTATAGACAAAAATCTCCTTTCCCTTTGGCTTTATGCTAGGGCACTGGTTCTCAAAGTATGGTCCTGAAACCAGCAGCAATAGCATCACTTGGAAACTTCCTTGAAATGCACATTCTCAGGTCTTATCCTAGACCTGCTGATCAGAAGCTCTGGAGATGGGGTCCAGTACTGTGGGTGTTTTAATAACTCCTCCTTCAGAGAATTTTGATGCATGCTAAAATTGAGAGCCATTTGAAGTTTAGATTTCTACACACCCCCTCTTGGGATACTTTCAATGAACAAACTAGTTTTTGCACATTAGAATTGGGGTTTTTAAGAGCAGTCCTTAAAGTGCCACTTTCTTATTCATAACATTAAGATAGTCTACTTTCTGCAATAATGATATTAGCCCTTACTGTTGCATTCAAATAGATCTTTGGTGGCAGCAGTAGAATAAAGTCAAGTAGATGTTTCACAGACAGGACAAAGGAGGTATGGGGCTAACTACTCCAGTGATTAAGGATCCAAAGCACCCGTTGCGTGTCTCTGGGCCATGGCTGTCTCCTGATTCCTCATCTTTCTATTTCTGGATGAGGCATTCATTTATAAGAGAGAACAAAAGAAGGGATTTATTTCCAGCACCATCGAGGATATGCTAGAATGTGAAAAAAAAAATTATATTTTCCCCTTATAAGATTTATGCAGGTGCTGCTATATTGCTCCAGTTTTCCTTTGCTTAATGATCTAATCCTTCCCTGGAGTTTCATTTCTCTGTGTAGCTAGAGAAAGAAATAGCTCTGATAATGAACACCTGTGATTTAGATGGAGCGAGAAACCTGATCCCAGGAAACAGCTAAACAGTGAGTCTTGGTCCTTTTAAGCCAGGAAGAGAAGAACAAAGGAACAATGAACAAACTCAGGCCCCGTTTTAAAAATTTGAGATTGGTGTCTATATTTGAAAGCTACCAGAAACCAGTTTGAGACCCTAAGATATGAGCAAGGTAGAGGGACTGTATATACTGGTTTGTTCGGGATTAAAAACCTCTAGTTTATACCTGTCATCCCAGAGTAATTATTAATGATGACCCCTTCACTTGCAGATATGTCCTGATTGTATGATAAATTATATGGTCACCTTGGTGAGAGACAACTCAGTAGTGCACCAAGAATTCAGACTGTAAACTTCCTAACAGGACTTTGCTGGCAACCAGTTCTAATACTTATTAATTGTGTGAATTTTGCAATTTACCCTCTATGCCTCAGTTTCCTTAACCGTAAAATGGAAATAACAATATAGTTGATCCTTGAACAATGCTGGACTTAGAGAATTAGTCTAAAACTCATGCATAACTTTTGACTGCTTAAAAAAAAGTACTAATAATAGCCCACTGTTGATCAGAAGTTATAAACCACCAATTAACAGATATTTTGTGTATTATATACTGTATTCTTCCAATGAAGTAAGTTAAAGAAAATCGTATTAAGAAAATCATAAGGAAGAAGAGAAAATCATAAGGAAGAAGAAGAGAAAATATATTACTATTCATTAAGTAGAAGTGGATCATCATGAAGGTCTTCATCCTCATCATCTTCATATTGAGTAGGCTGAAGAGGAGGAAGAGGAGGGGTTGGTCTTGCTGTCTCAAGAACTGGCAGAGGTAGAAGAAAATCTGCATATAAGTGGCACCATGCAGTTCAAACCCATGTTGTTCAAGGGTCAACTATATCTCTATCAGAAGGTTGTTGAGCAGATTGGGTAAGATATGCCACCCATCTGGCTAAGTGCCTATACCTGGCAGGTGCTCAGCAATGACTACTTCTCCTTAGGGAGAGAGAAATTATCTACATTCAATTGGCCCAGTGGACTTCATTACATTAAATCATTCACTACAACCCAGAAATTCACAAGCAACTTTGTTCTGGTTCCATTTGTAATTCTCTTTTTTTAACATGTTGCAGTTGTTTTTTTCTCTGTAAGAAGCATGTTAAGGACATCAAGAAAAATTGCCTTTCAGAGAAAATCATAGTTGTACTTGAAAAAAAAAAGTTCATGTTCAGAGTTGAACCAGAAGCTCAAGTTTGTTCAATGCTGCTTCAAAGTGAATGTCAGAAACAGAAATGACTGTATTGCAGTTCATGGTGTTGGAGTTTGGAGAGATCCAGTAAATTGTATCCCACTCTTGACTGGCTACAATCAAGTATCAGGTCTTCAAATTGAGAGCTAGACACCACAGTCAGGCAGGTGGAGATCAAAATATCATTTTCATTAGTGATGAATTTGTTGGAGTTAATGACTTAGTGTGACAGTCAAATGGATTTGCTGTCCTGCCTCAGCTCTAAGACACCTCACCAGAGAAGAAAGTTGGGTCTGTAGCAGACATTTTTACCAAGATGACTGACTGGCACTGGACCCTGGAGGAAAAGGAAGAAACAAGCTAATGTTCCCATTACTGCAGGATCAGCTCTACCCAATGAAGAAACAGACAATAGTCACCACCAAACAGGTTGTTCAATTCTAGATGTGGAGAGAAGTAAGGACAAGCGGCTAGAATGGAGCTCCCTGTGCGTGCAAACATGGAGGAAGCTCCTTTTCCAGAGGAAAGAAGGTTCCCCACAACATTGTCACCCATATTTCTCACCGCGGATTTAGTCACAGTAAAGATTTGATCAGATTAGACTTAACGAATTATTTTTGGGAAAAGATGCCCAGATAATCAAATAACCATTTATCACTTTTCCCAACTGTGGATCAGAAATTGGATGAAATACCATTACTAGGTTCAGAATAATCTTTGCCTTTCCTTTGTCTCATATATGATAATGGTTATTTTAATGACCTTGGTTGTGAATGAAGGTCATCCATAGCTTACAGCACTTGAGCTGTGAAAACATACCAATCACCTCAGGAGGAACAGAATTAGGTTCCCATTTCAGGCATATAGTTTCTGTTCATTTCAGCTGGAGGAAATAATAGCTTTGTAGACATCCTTCCAGCAAGGGGAAGAATGTAAACCTTTGTTAATGTATTTCTCCCTGGTGGTCGAGACACTTTGTCACTTTAGCTGGGTTAAATTCTGAGAAATAGCGAGGCTTCGTTTTAAAAGTGCGGGACAGCTGAACTGAAACTGGCTGTTCGAATCCCTAAGAATCTGGGCTCTTTCAGACATAATCCAGATGGACAGGTGAAATGGAAATACCCACCCAAGGAACTCAGCATGTTCTTCTGTAGGTCTCTGACCACGGCTGAGGCCCCATAGTTAAGGCCCATAAAAGGACACCATGAGGTCACCCAAGTGGCTGTCATCTCCATTTCAGCAGGATACCTCCCAACAGTGTTGAGGTATGACAGGCAATCCCTTATGATTATTATGTTATTCCTATCCCTTCAGCTCTTCTAGTCCTGAGGTGTGGATCCTAAGTATTGTACCTTTTATTTTTATTTCATAAGCATGTGTTTAAACTATCTTTTGAGTGTGAGGCACTCTAGGAATCAGAATGTTACCTGAGAGGGCTGGGGAGTCTGTGAGAATGAGCTTACTTACAGTTAAGTGGAAGAAGCTCTCCTTAAAGCAAGGCAGAATACAATAATCACCAAAAGATGATATTCTTTAAAAAAAATGGACCATAAAGTAATAAATGATTAGTACTTGCTGAGGAAGTTAGGAAGGCCCTCAGGAACTGGTAACACAATAAAGTTTGACTTTGGGGTCTCTGATGGGCTGAAATAAATGGTACTCCCAGGGGCCCAGGCATGGTGGTTCGCACCTGTAATTCCAAAACTTTGGGAGGCAGATCACTTGAGCCCAGGAGTTCTAGACCAGCCTGGGCAACCTGTCTCTAACAAAATACAGAAATTAGCTGGATGTAGTGGTGCCTGCCTGTGGTCTCAGCTACTCTGGAGGATGATGTTGGAGGATCTCTTGAGCCTGGGAGGTCGAGGCTGCAGTGAGCCAAGATCATGCCATTGCACTCCAACCTGAATGATGGAGTAAGACCCTGTCTCAGGAAATAAAGAAAGAAATAGTACCCCTTTTCTGCATCGAAGTTCTGACCAATTTGAGAAAAAAAGAAATACTTGGTGGAACCCAAGATATCATTGAAAATTACTTATAGGGGACAAGTGAACAGATGGGACTTTAGTTTTATTGGCCAAGTAGGCTTAATGACACTCCAAATTTGGGCAGAATCCCAGGGTGAGTCTTTACCTCCTCACCTTACTGCATATCTTCAGGGTCTGGGTTTCTGGAGGAGCTGGGAAATCTCCAGTTCTCTGCAGGCAGGCAGCTGCCAAGAGGAAGCAGAGCCAGGCAGAGCTGGGCAAACCCAGTCAGTCTTTTCAAATTCACTGGGTGGCCAAGTGAGTAAAGGGGCAGAGAAAGCCCAAGGGTGTGCTTAGGAAAAATTCCTCCTCCTGAAACCAGGAGTGAGGAAAGATACTCATCTGAAAATTGGTATGGCTAAGGGAAAGTTTAAAAATCATCCTGCATGGAAGGTGGTGAAGATAGTCTGGTGAGACTAGGATGAGACAGAGAGAGAGCTCTGGAAGGAGATGGGGAGATGAAGGTTGGGTGCAAAACAAGGAGAGTCTTGTATATCACACTAAAGGGGTGGGCTTTTCCTGAAAACAGTGGGAACCCATTATATTTTTACAGAAAGACTATATTTGTGAGTAACAGCTAGCAGTTAAGGGAAGATCATTATAGAGGCAGGGAAGTCAGTTAGGAAGAAATCTCAGTAGCCCACAGGAAAACCAATGAGCAATGAGAAACTGGGCATTTGGTATAAATCCTGATTTCATGAGAATTTAAATCACATCGGTCTACCTTGGATCTCAGGTCAGTTAATTGAGGGGAGAAGTACTCCTCTCATAAATCATTTTAAAATTTCTATGGAAATAATTACATTGTCATGTAACCTATCTGCCTTTTTTTTTTTTTTTTTAAGAGACAGGATCTCACTCACCCAGGCTGGAGCACAGTGGCACAATGACAGCTCACTTCAGCCTCTACCTCCCAGGCTCAAGCAATCCTCCCACCTCAGCCTCCAAAGTATCTGGAATTAAAGGCACACACCACTTTCCCCCGCTAATTTTTTTAAAATTTTTTGTGGAGACAAGATCTCCCTATGTTTCCCAGGCTGGTCTCGAACTCCTGGGCTCAAGTGATCCTCCTGCCCAGGCCTCCCAATGTTCTGGGATTACAGGCATGAGCCACCATGCCTAGTCCCCTGCCTTCCTTTGTACCCCAAATGTCAGTGAGCAACTACTACATGTAGAATATTATATGATATGTTGGGAATACAGAAATAAATATCCAACAGAGAAAAGAGATGCCTAGAAATCTCTTCTCTGTTCAAAACCCCCATCATAAGTCATTATTCATGTAATTCATGAGATAAAACTTCAAAAGATATACATAAGAGATTATCAGAATTTTTTCTTTAATACCATCATAGTTGATTGACAAATTTATAAAGTATATTTATTGGCATGTACTTCTTTGAAAAAGAAAAGGCTATGAGAACACACAATGAGAATGT